ACTTTTGAAAATATATATCGGCGTGAGTGACACTGCATATGCATTTTATATAAAATTCCTATTTTTGTATATTTTCTATGTTTTTTACTCACTCTTTAATCCTTTTTCCTTATTTATATAGAAAGAAGGTAAAGCAAATACATAAACTTCTATTTCTAGAAAACTTTTATTCTTACTATAAAAAGAATAGGAAAAACTAGGAAAGTCAAAAGGAATTCGATTTCTTTTTTTTATGTCTATCTCTCCTAACACACCTGATTAATAAGATGTAGGGTAAAATTATTTATACTCCAAAGATTTGTATCCCATTTTGTACACTACAGGGATGTACTAACATTTTGTGTTGCTGTAATGCTAATTTTTGTTAACACACCAACACTTTGAATCAGTGCAAATTCTTGCATGTTAACGCACCAACACTTTGTGTCAGTGTGAACCATCAAAATGTTGATGCATATCTATAGTGTATAAATGAGGTACAAATCTTGGGATACATGTAGCATGCTCCTAAGATGTATATTAGAAAATACAAAGTGTATATATATATATATATATATATATATATATATATATATATATATATATATATATATATATATATATATATATATGCTTATCTTGGATAATGACTTTTCACTTTAAGTGTTGACTTCTTAAATTCCATAAATAGCCATTTTGATGAGTCAATGAGGAAATCTCCAGACAAGGCCATTCAGTCCAATCTCCAAAAAAGATTATTTAGGTGCAGTGGAAGAACTTCACAATCAAGGGAATGCAGCGGCAGGCCTCTTGATCATCTCGGTTATCTCGGCCTCCACAACGAAACCCTTTCCGTCGTGCTGTTTCCAATAGTCGGACTGAGGATTGATCCACTCAGGCTCAGGGATGTCTAAGCGGGACCCCTTCAGCCCGTCTGCGGATATTTTGTACTTGTGGTCCCTGTTGTACACCATATCGGGTTTCACCATCCCTAGATTGACTCCCTGTGGGGACATCATTAGGGATGGCGGCCCTATTGGAAGCTTGTCACCTACATTCATATATATATATGCACCATAAACTACTACAATCATTTTTTTCACGATGTTTTAAACAAATTTAAACCATGCATTTTCACTTTTCTACCTTTGTTTTAAATTTTGTAAAGTGAAACAATAAAGTTTTTTTCGAGACACAAGGATTATATGAGATTGTATTTAAATAATGTGTAATATATACCTCTATCAGTGTCCCAAGTGCACCAGAATTTGCCATAGGTCTTGGCAAGATTTTCAAGCTCAGGTCTCACCACCACCTCTGGTAGTCTTGGACTCACCCATAGTCCCGATTTTATCTGCGCGTACATTTAAATTTTGAAAATAGATTGTGACACTACAAAAAAACAAAAAAACGCGCTTTTCTCACGGATTCTGTAACGAACACTCCTCACATATTTCCGATACTAGCTAGGGTTGTTGTCACGGATGTTTGTCACGGCTATAGTCAGTGACAAAAATGAAAATTACTGTAGCGACGTTCTGGTCAGGAACAATATTCGATACAAGGGTTGTCAAGGAGTGATGCCCTGACAAATATCCGCAACAAACGGGCGTTTTTTTGTAGTGTGAAAAAAAATATATTGTGTTCAATATCAATAGTCTGAATTGGAATTTATATGGTCAAAATGTTGTATCTCCAATAGAAAGAAATCTATAAGCTTTTGGAGCAAACCCTAATCATGCATGAATTTAATTCAAGGATAATCAAAAATTGCAAACCTCATAAGCATGAGAATGCCACAACTTTTGTTCATCTTCAGGCAAAGTCTCATAAATATTCTCGGAAACAATATACTCCACCCCTACAAAAAGCAAACACTAGCTAATTCATCATAGTATAGAAATAAAAACCTCAATAATTACTTTATTTTATCAAATAATCAATAAAAATATAATTAAATGAAGAGTAAATTCTATAATTGGTCTTTTATAATAGGGGGGTTTCCATATTTAGTCCTCTATTATGGAATATTACCCCCATAGTCCTTTTTTTAAGGGTTCCTTTCCACAAATGGTCCTTTTTTGATCTTCTGCCATGTTGGTGTTAATTTAAAGACTAAAAGTATAATTTGACGTCAACATTATGTCTAGTGACGTGTTGTGATATTGGTTAAGCGGATAACACAAAAATAATGACTATGATTGTGGGCTAGGATTCTGACGAAAGATCATATTTGTATACTATAGTTGTCATAAAAAGCGACTTTAATTCACAAACGACGCAAACGGAACAGCCTTTGGAATTGTGTATGACAAAAAAGATATATTATCATTGTGAAATTACACTTTTAGCCCTCAAATTAACACCAACATGATAGAAGATCAAAAAAAGACTATTTGTGGAAAGGTACCTATAAAAGAAGGACAACTTGAGTAATATTTGATAATAGAGGACTAAATAGAGAAATCCCCTGTTATAAAGGACAATTTACTCTTAAATGAAATTCAAGTAAAATTAAAATGGGTATATAAAACACCAATTGAAGTAAAATTGAAACGGCGGGGTTTACCGATGAGGCGGGCGTGGGAGTCGTCGGAGTCGTAGACGGCGCACTGGAGGAAATCGTGGTTGAGGCGGCTGACGTAGTGGTGGGTCTCGATTTGCCGGCCCAAGTCGCGGCTGCAGAGTGCGAAAGTGCAGACATGTTGCTTCATCCCTTTGATTGGGGCCAGAGATTGCAGTACCATTGCGCTTTTGTCCACCGCGTGTTCCTCCACCGTCATCGCCTTCCCCGGCGGTGTCTGCTCCCCGCCGCCGCCGCCGTGACACTCAACCGCGGATGCCATTTGTCCAGCTATCGGAGATAGAGATCTGAGATGGAACGAGAGATATCAAACGGATGCTTTAATAATAATTTGATTGATTTGTAAAGGAAAGGTGGAGCTTGTAGAAACGGGATGGTGTGGGAAGATGACACGTGTCTAGGAAGATTATGCATCCATGCATGGTGGCCAAATGGTGATTTTTGCATGAAGAGATACCTGCCTAACCCGTATATAGCCGGCTGTCCGGAAAAACGAGCTGGACTTAACTTGTTTGGTCAAAATTAGCAAAATTTGACCCTAAATTAAATAAAAATGATATTAGATATTGATACAAAAATAGTTTTATTAGATTATTATATATACTATTTTCAAAATATTATTTTATCTAATTAATACACAATATATGTTTTATTTAACTATAAGTCAAAAATTAAAAATGATTGACTGAAAAAAGTCAAAACTAGACAAATACTCTAAGGAGTCTGGGACGGGGTGGTAGTTTTTAATGAGCGGACCGGCTCGTCCCATAAATTTTGGAGGCCCAAAAGTGATAAGGGCCAGGTATGGATTATGATGTTTGAGCGGGTCGACGGGACACCTAATAAAATGTGGAGTAATAATTTAAAAAAGGATGAGTCTCAATTAGCTGAGCAACGCCCACCGGCATAAAAATAATAATATACTCCCTTCGCTTCAAAGAAAAGGACTCGTAGTTTGACTTCACACAAAGTTTAAAAAAAGTGAAAATGAGTGGTTGAAAGTGATACATAAGAAAAAGAGGAAAAATATGAACTACTTAAATTTTTTCATAAAAGGAGAGAAGATGCCTTTTAAGACGTCTCACAAAGGAAAAAGATCAAAGTAAGAGTAGAACATTGAAAATAGGAGAAATTACGTGTATAACACTAAAACAATGCCCCTTTCTTTTAATAGCACTAGTGTTAGGAAGCCACATGTTTTATTGACGCAGGGGTGAGGAAAAGACTATAATGACCTTCAGTCTTATTTTTGTAGATCTGTAAAACCGCACATCCTCCATTGTGAGTAATAACAGGTCCCATGAAACATGTGGACAGTGTGTAAGTTAATGAACCTAGGACAGTGCGTATGCATGAGCAAAGTAAAGGGCAGTGTGTACATTAATATAAAATTAGGGACAATGTGTAATCACAGTCCCCCTAATGGACAGTGAGTGAGATATGTGTTGGGGACAGTGTACGGATATGCCCAAAGTCAGGATCAGTGAGTCAAGCACATAATTGGATATAGTTTAGACAGTTTAAGGATTCCTGAAAATTAGGGATAATTAAGGATTTGTTTTCCAAAAATAAGTAAAAATTAAAAGGAATGATTTTAGTAGGCTTAGGTTACGGAAGGGTAGGCTAGGTAGTACGGGTGAAAATTAGTGCTAGTGTTATGGATTATATCGTAAGATATTAGATTATATATTTATTAGTTTATTATTATTATTATTATTATTATTATTATTATTATTATTATTATTATTATTATTATATTGTAATCTAGGTTTTATTAGGTGAGCGAAATTATAAGCTCCTTCGAGATTTCTTTACGGTTCTTTCCCTCGTAGCTTTTATTGAACCGTTAGATTATGTTTAAGGTTAGTTAGGGTTACTTTGTCTCCTATATATAGAGATGTAACTCATTTAGAACAATCAATCAATAAACAACTCAAAACCCCAATTCCTTCTCCCCTCTCGGTTCGCCGATTCCCTCTTCGCCTCAATTCTTCTTCTTCTTCCTCGTCCCATATTCTCAAGAGCTCGAAGACGCTCTGAGTCTTCCCTATCCGATACGGAGTTCGTATCATTGGTGCTCTCGTTGATTTGAACACTTAAAAACCAAAAAAAAAAGAATTGCAGCCCTGTTGACAGCCGAACAGATCAATTTACTACTAACCAGGAGTCGCAGGCGCTAGATTGTTCCTCTTCAACACCGTCACAAACCGGCCAAAATTACTTATTTGTGGCTAATTGCCAATTTGAAGAACACGGCCAAGAAAATAAATTGCTTGCCAATTGGTTGAAATATTTCATGTCACCGTGTGACATTTCATTTTTGTATTGCATGATTAAAACTTAATTTATCACTTCCTAAATGAATGTTCAAAGTGTCTTGACTCTTGAGAGAGCACAATATTTCCACTTTTATAGTCTTTTTTATATTAACGGTGGATAACAACCCACTAATTTCTTACGATCTGCTCTATGCCTAATTTGCACCCAATTTTGCTCTGCACTTATCATCTTCTTCCCACCATTTGATGGAGAACTGCCTAACTTCGAAATCTCATCTGCAGGCTTCTCCCACGTTCTTTCCCTACAAAGTATCATCTTTTTCATGTAAATAATGCTCCAGTACCGTCTCTTTCAGAATCTCATTTGCAGCCTAACTTCAAAATCTCATAGTAATTTTATCTTACACTACTTCTCTTGGTCGCTTCCCTGGTTTTTTTCCTGCAGTTACACTGTGTTTAATGGTTTTGCTGCACTGATTTTTTATTAAATTTCTCTAACAAGGTACAGACCTTGTATTTCTAAATGGCCTCAAAACCCAAGGGTTTCACATTTGAATTCTAGATTAGAATTATTGATGTTCCCCAAAGATTTTGATTTGGAAGTCTAGGATTGGGGAATTCTAAATATGCGATTTTGGAGTCCGTGATTTGAAAAAAAACATGTATTTCTATTTAAATCCGCCTAATTTTGTCACTAACACTCCACGGTAAGATTACAGGCGTTGGAGCAGTGTTCAATTGATATCATTTGAAGAAACGTGCCAGTGATCCCAAAGTAATAACGTTTTTAGCATTTGCCAAAATGTCTTCTGTTACACACGTCGTTTCTGGTGTTAACTTGAGCACACAAGTTAAGGCAGCTACCCTTTGGAGCTTACCCATATCATTTGGAGCCAGCTATTCAATGGGCTCTAAGTTGAGGTTTCCAGCTAGCAACAATGGTGTTATGACCAGATCTGGGAGGGAGTTTGGCCGTTTGAAGGTCTGATTTGGATTTTATAGTCAAATCCACAAGTTTTTTTTGTTACTTAAAGAAATTCGGATAACAGATATAATGGGGCCTGGTATATGAAACAGGTAGTTTGCGTGGACTATCCCCGGCCAGAGCTTGATAATAGTGTAAACTTTGTCGAAGCTGCTTACTTGTCATCTTCGTTTCGTTCTGCTCCTCGACCAACCAAACCATTGGAGGTTGTTATTGCTGGTGCAGGTATATGTCTGCAGAAATATAATGTATTAGCAGTACTATTCCGTTTCATCGTGCTTGAGTTATACCTAAGCATACAATAACAACAAAAGTTTTTTTTGAGTGTCAGTGAATAAGTAAAGCTTGGACGGAGACAAGTAATCAAAAGTTTTGTTTTTAATTGTATTCCAAGAGCTACTATGGTTTTATGTTTTAATTTTGTGGTATATTCAATGGTTGCAGGTTTGGCTGGGTTATCTACTGCAAAATATTTAGCAGATGCTGGTCACAAACCAATACTATTGGAAGCACGCGATGTGCTAGGTGGTAAGGTTGGTGAGAATCTCAGATCCATCTCATTCTTGCTTCTCCTTTTCTTGTGGCTCACCAATCAAGATACACATAGGAATTGTAATAAGTCACCTAAATTGTACTCCCTCCGTCCTATAATTATCTTCCTACTTTCCTATTTTGGTTGTCCCAAAATTTTCATCCTCTTTTCTTGAAGGAAAAAGTTGTGTGGTCTATATCATTTCTCTTTCCTCTAAACAAGCCACAATCACACACGTTCCACTTCATTAAAAATCGTGTCAAGTCAAACGGAGAAGAAAGTTATGGGACAGAGGGAGTATCAAACTATCTATGCATTTTTATAGAATCATTGAACACATCACTAGAGTTACCAAATTGCATAGTGTTGTGAAATAACATTCACTTGGAATGTTCAATTTTTTCAAATTGGAATGTAGCATCTGTCTTTAATTTTGTAGGTAGCTGCATGGAAAGACGATGATGGGGACTGGTACGAGACTGGCTTACATATATTCTGTAAGTTTAAAAGCCATAATAACAATAATAGACCAGTAAAATCCTGCAGAAACTAGGGTCTAGACTCTAGAGAGGGGGTGTGTGTATGTAGACCTTAACCCTACCTGAAAGTAGAGATGCTGTCTCCAAGAAACCCTCTCAAACACACAAGTATGGCTAAAGAGGAACCAAAGAGGAATTGAACAAGAAAACAGTATAATCTATTACGAAAAATTTGAGCAAGAATCTCACTCAATAACTCTCAGTAACCAACACTAGAGGTTGTAATTATCTGTTTATTTCTGAAGGATCCAAAATACTAGAGATAGATCAAACTATTCATAGTCTTATTACAACTCAATAATAAGATAATAAGAAAACAGAGAAGCCTAACAAATCATGGGTTATCAAAGACTAATTTCAACATAACCTTATTAGGTTCAGAAACTCAGCAACAATTTCAAACCAGAATAAAACTCCTAAAATGAATAAAATAAAACTGGTTTTCTTGAAATCTGGAGGGAGAGGAACAAAGCCAAAAAAAAAGGGTCAAAACAGACACCAAGCTACCAATGTTTTATTACTTCAACTATTTTGATTCTAGAAGATGAAAAAACATGATAAGTGCCTACATTTATAGGTTCACAGCCTTACAAATAAAACTAACTAAGCAAAAAATTTGGCCTGTAATCCACTATCCATTAATGGGCTGATCTTTTGCCTAAAGAAAAGGAACAGCAAACCATCCTAAAAATCAGGAAACAAGCTATCATACTTCTGAAAATAAGTTGGTCAAAGATTTTGTGAATCAGTTTGCAACAAAGGTATTCTTATAAATTTATTCAATCTAATAAAGGTATCCTATTGTAAACTTTTTTGACCTGCTCATTGATGTCGGGATGGTTCTCTCTCTCTCTCTCTCTCTCTCTTTCTGTGTGTGTGTGTGTGTGTGTAGAAACACACTAATCAAAGAAAATGAACCCCTTTTGATGGGAGAGAGAAGAGTAGAAGAGTGATGTGTTTGGTTGGGGTTAGAGACTGGGGGAAGGGGAGTGGAAAGGATATAAAACCCTCTGGACTTCTCATATCGAACTCCATATTTCTAACTTTTTTCCTCTTACAATGTTCTACATTTCATCGTTATACATGTGGATTCACAATTTGTTTTAATTACAACAGTTCTTATATTAATTACTTATGTTAAACGAGTGTCTGTTTTAAGTTGGGGCCTACCCAAATATACAGAACCTGTTTGGAGAACTTGGCATCAATGATCGCTTGCAGTGGAAGGAACACTCTATGATATTTGCAATGCCCAGCAAACCAGGGGAGTTCAGCCGCTTTGATTTCCTGGAAGCCTTACCATCTCCACTTAATGGTGAGATCTTTATCAAAATTGTCAACCAATGGCTTTGTAAATGTAAAGCAATTCATTTTACCAATCTGATTACAAGTTTTCTTCAATTTAATAAAGTCTATGTTTTATTATCATAAAACGTATACTCCGTATAATACAAAAATTTTAAAATAAAAGATTACCCTCCTCTCCTATTAAAAACCCTCCGGAATCCCAACTCCCCAACGAAAAATGCACACATTATGTATCACTTTATGTTTCGAGCATTTCCTATTTTATTGGCAGGGATATGGGCCATCCTAAAGAACAATGAGATGCTGACGTGGTCTGAGAAAGTGAAGTTTGCTATTGGCCTTTTGCCAGCAATGCTTGGTGGACAGTCTTATGTTGAAGCTCAAGATGGGGTATCTGTTGAGGAGTGGATGAGAAAGCGGGCACGTAAACTTTTACATTCATCAAGTGTTCATTCAGACTGTTGTCTTATGTTGTGGCCAGGTAAGGGCAACAGGAGAGATATTGACAAGCAGCTAAATGTTTGGTTTTCAGGGGATACCAGACAGGGTCACTGATGAAGTGTTCATTGCCATGTCAAAGGCACTCAATTTCATTAATCCTGATGAATTGTCCATGCAGTGCATATTGATTGCTTTGAACAGATTTCTTCAGGTCAGTATCCCTAGAAAGAATGTGATGACCCAGCCTTGGTATCTCTTCAAAGACACACACACACACACACACTCTCTCTCTCTCTCTCTCTCTCATTTTTTCCTCATATTCTCTGCTGCAAAAGTAATTATTACTCCTCCCCCCCCCCCCCCAAAAAAAAAACCTCTTCAAAAACTTATTTTTGGCCCAAAAAAGGCTAATACTTTTCTTTATATGTATATGGGTCTGCCTTAATTTTGGGAGGTGGAACCGGGCTTAGGGATAAAATTGGGATGCTATATGTGTCCTTTACACGTATCAAGTTTGTAATACGCATTTTAATATATTATTAAGCACAGGAGAAACATGGTTCAAAAATGGCATTTTTAGATGGAAATCCACCTGAAAGACTCTGCTTGCCGATTGTTGAACATATTGAGTCACGTGGTGGGCAAGTTCGACTTAGTTCACGTATAAAGAAGGTTCAGTTGAATAAAGATGGAAGTGTGAATAGTTTTCTTTTAAATAATGGAGCCATTGTTCATGGAGATGCTTTTGTGTTTGCTACGCCAGGTATTTTTTTAATATTTTAATTGATAATCTAGGTATTTTTTTATTAATTCATCTCACATTTGCCAAATATAAAAATGCAAATCAACATATAAGGCCTTAGATTACTCGTCTTATAAAGTTGACCTTTTAGGACGAGACCCCCAATTTTTAAAAACTATATACTCTTGTTCGGCTTTAGTTGTTCCCTCTTCGAAATACCTAAAATTGTAAAATATCAAATAAGTCCTTTAAATAGGTTTGTCATTCATTGATATTAACAATGCTAAATTGCTAATATGCTATCTAGAGGGTATTTTAGGTAATCCATCATTACTAAATATGAGAAGTGGACAACTAAATTTGGACGGAGGGAGTATAATGATCAAGTTTTACATGACTTTAGTCCTTAAGTTTCTGCAGTCACTGATTCTCTACCATTATATTAGTTGATATCCTGAAGCTTCTTTTACCTGAGGACTGGAAAGAGATCCCATATTTCAAAAGGTTGGAGAAGCTTGTTGGTGTTCCCGTAATAAATGTCCATATATGGTTAGTTGCAAACTTAATCTCTCTCTCTCTCTCTCTGACTCTCTCTAACAGACGCATGTATTCGCATGCACGAATGGCATGATGTACATATATGTTCATGTGACTAAGATAATTGTATGAACATTGACTGGAATCTTTGAGATATGGATTTCGATAGGCCCAAAAAAGTAATTCAATAATATAATTGCAGGTTTGACAGAAAACTGAAGAACACATATGATCATCTCCTTTTCAGCAGGTCCATATTGATTCAACTCTTTTTGCTTTGTCGCATTTCACTTCTTTTCCAGACATTCTTCCATTGCTATCCCTTTCTTTTACACACACACACACATATTTGTAGGCATCTTTGGATTCTAAATTTATTGTTTCTTTTCATGTTCCTGCAGAAGTGAACTTCTCAGTGTGTATGCTGACATGTCGGTGACATGCAAGGTATTGATTGGAGACTTGAGAAGATGTGTCAAACGATCTTTAATTTGACAATGTTATCTACTCTTTTGTCGCGCAGGAATACTATAATCCAAATCAGTCTATGTTGGAATTGGTGTTTGCCCCTGCAGAGGAATGGATCTCGCGGAGCGACTCCGAAATTATAGATGCCACAATGCAGGAACTATCCAAATTGTTTCCTGATGAGATTTCAGCTGATCAGAGCAAAGCAAAAATAGTGAAGTACCATGTTGTCAAAACTCCAAGGTTAGAAGAGTTAGCTAGATAGATACAATGTTGGCACAATGCTCTTAGGTAATGTTTGGCAAGACATGTAGCATTAGAGATTTGGATAATTTTTCGATGGTGCAAATTAACTTTGAAAACGTTAACGCTAAAAGCTACCGCCTGATAACATTTTCAAATCGTTGAACCTAATGCCAAACGGAGCCTTAATTTCTAGTGCACGTGTAATGTAAATCTACACTTATACAATGTATTTGAATAAACCAAACCAAACCAAACCAATTCGAACATACCCAACAAGTCCCACATGGAAAGTATGGTTTGTGGAGGATACGGAACCACACGTAGACCTTACCTCTACCCATAGTAGGAGAGAGGCTGTTTCCGTGAAGGAAAAAAGTGATATCTATTTGGTCAATGCATCAAGTTAGGTCTAATCAAATGTCACATTAGTCTCAACATGTTTAGAATAAACCTTACTGATCTGATTTTTTTCTTTTTTCTTTTTTTAAAATTAAGGTCGGTGTACAAAACAGTGCCGGGATGCGAGCCATGTCGTCCCTTGCAGAAGTCGCCTATCTCTGGTTTCTACTTGGCAGGCGACTACACGAAACAGAAGTATTTGGCTTCAATGGAAGGCGCTGTTCTATCTGGGAAGCTATGTGCCCAAGCAATTGTCAAGGTAGTAACTTTCCCAATGGTACCCTTTCAATTTTCTTGTTCTCACTGGAAACTGATGCATTTTGTTTTTTTGTTTAGGATTACGAGTCGCTTCTTGCTCGACGGCTGGCCAATGAAAGTGCAAACATCAGCTGAAGAGGACACTTGAATCACCTGTTGGTTGTGTCAATTGATAGCTTTGTTTGTACTTTGTATACAGAAAAGAAACAATATTACAACACAAGTCATTTTTCTACATGACACTACTAAAGTTAATCCACATGGGTCTTTTGACACCACTCCTTGATGTCAAAACATGACATCAGGATCCTATGATGATCCATTATATCTGGATTGGATTCTACCCCCTAATCTCTCCCCACCCCCTTGTAGCAAATTAGCAACAAGCATCTCCCCCACACCCCCGCCCGCCCCACCTAACTTGGATTGCTGAACCCAGTACCTTTGGTCTCAGATCGAAAGGAGTGTCATAGGACCCCAAGAATGGCTCGGTGTCATAATATGATGCTCTAAAGATCGGTGTCAAAAGAACCAAAGTTAATATGATTAAATCTAATTAGGTATAACAAATAACCTTGCCTGCATAATACTTGCTCCTTGCCATGGCCCTTGTGCCTTAGTCATTGCTCCCACAATGTTAACACACATTGTTGTCACCCACCATCACGCACATACACGCTTAGTGTTCATCAAAATATTGTTACTGGTCATCTTCGGGACATTAAACAGTAATGTTCATCAAAATGAATATATGATTCCACTGTATGTTTAACTCCTACCCACTCAATTTTAATTTTCTTGATAATCGTGTCAGTTAAAATGTGGAGCCTTCATTCAAGATGGAGGGAGTGGTATTTACTGTGCATGTTAAACTAATTAATCATTCTTCAAACGTGAAGCAATCGGATACGTAAACTAAGCACACCGTCCATCAAAGAAAAAAAATTATATTCACAGTACAAAACGTCTTCATATGGCCTTTTGAATGATAACTAAAATGTATTCTAACTCGGAAAAAAGAGTTAGAGAGCCTTGCAATGCAAGCGCAGAGTACCCACCCGCCAGGCCAATGAGTGTTGTGTGCGTGTTCGTACATTTGTCATGGACTCCTGCTTTCTACCATTGACATATAAGGATTGCGTCTAAAAGCTATACATATTTGTTTGTATGTATGTATAGGACACAATGCCGGAAAATATAAAACCAATGGTGTGTGTGTGTGTTTGTGTGTATTTGTGACTGCAGAGCTTTTCAAACTGCCAGTTTCAAATCCAACGCTTCATAGTAACGGAGGGCTGTTTTAAATAGAACAGTCAACTGACGTGGCAGCGGCATTACTCTGCACCTGCAAACAAAAGACAGACATATTAGTTGATGCCATGGAGAGCTCGAATGGTAAATGGAAGAAAGACTGTAGAACGGCTTTTGTTAGGTTCTGGAGCCTGATGTAATAATATTTCATGTACTCCGAAATATTATCGCTCACGTGGTTCAACCAATTATCTTGTGTGGCTTTTTTAGGTTGTACCTTTATTATTCTCTGCATACCTGTTTTATAACATGTACCGCCGTGGGGTTTGCCATACCACATATTTCTCTCTAGACCACAGCTATAACTTGAAAAATGCAATACAAATGAAATATGATAAAGCGTGATCTAATAAATTTTTTTCAAAGAACTGGTATGGTTTTGATGTTTATAGCCTAAATGTTTCTGGTATGATATTGTTAAAACACTTTATATGATAAAAGTAAATAAAGCAAAAGATATCCAAACGATGTGAAGTCCTCTTATGCAATGTTGTGTCAAATGAGTTGACACAGAAAAATGTAGGAAGACAAAATAACAATGCAGTGTCAATATAAACATAGAATGCCAAACTTTATGAACTAATCATGCAAGTAGTAAAAATGGGGCTCACCATCTGGTTGATCTACATGTACAAAGAAGCTTGCAGCAACAATGAGGTAGCATAATATAAGCATCAAACCTTTAAAGTAGTTTGATGTCCCTTCCTGCATCAAATAAGACAAGTCACTAAAAAGAACTAGGATCGGAAAGTATATAATCATCATCAGGATTTGAAGGGGGGCCCTATAAAAATGAAATTCCTTCGTATGAAGGTTGTGACAAGGGCGTCCAGCGAAAAACATTTCCCCTATGCATTGATTTATAGTGTTAATTATATAAATTAATTTATTGACACTATAAATACAATGTCACCGACCACAACTAGTTGAGATTAAGGTGCTGATAATGATTATGATGAATTGATGATGATGGGTCCTTTGAAAATGGGGGAAAACAAAACCTGTAGCATAAATGCCACCACTAGAACTGTAATAAAAAGTGTTGCAGTCTCAAAAAGTTGAAAGTTCAAGTCCATAGACTTTCCCATGAACCATCCCACAACTACACAGAATGGAACCTGCATTTTCAAAGGGACAAGATTCATTAGTTCAAAGTTATTAGATTAAACGTTTGAACTTTATTTTAAATCCTAATGGTACAATCTCCTTAAAGGCATTCCAAATAATTCTACAAGCCTAGAAGTGTGTAGTTAGTGCTTGTTTGGCCCAGCATATTTGGAGCTGGTCTACCCTAAACACTGCAAACATAAAAAACTTTAAATTTAGGGCGAGAGAGAGAGAGAGAGTAGAAGTATCTCCTTTTCAAGAAGTTCTAACCCAATTCTTTTTAAGAAATCAGCTTAAAGTACTCAGTTTCGGTCTTCCATGACTTGCATGATAGATGGAAGTACCCAATGATGCCGACAGTTTCGGCAATTCATCTGTCAAGGAGAACCTTGGCGCAAACGTAAAGGTGTGGCCGTGTGATCGTTACATCACAGGTTCAAGTCCTGGAAACAGCCTCTTGCCACAAATGCTGACAGATGAAAATTATCTGGTGTAAAACTTTATCACTATGTTTTTTTCATGAATTTAAAGTCTCAACTAATTTTGAAAAATTATAACACTATAAAAGCCGAGTCACCTGACACATGTACCTGTTAGTACTTAGTATCAATTAAGATGATGATGTTCCCTAAGGAGTCAGTTGGGCAAAACAAGTGCTAAAATGGACTTAAAGGTCTTACGGGCTTACCACAAACATTGATATTTGAGTGGATGACCCAATTGCTACTCCGAGTGTAATATCCTGCATAAAGATTATATTCATTACTCACAATGTAAGAAATTAGCAGCAAGATGGATATTAAAGATATTCTAAAGGCCTCACCAACTTGTCTTTCATCGCAAACATTATTGCACTTGCATGCTCTGCTGCATTCCCCACAATTGGAAGCAAGATCACACTTATAAAAGCAACAGGCATGTTCATCGAGGCAGATGCTCCCTTATAAAAACAATCATGTAAGCAGTTAGGATAAGTTACAAAAGAAATCATCTGCAATCCCTTGAAATTTGAATATTTTATCAAACCAAGATTCAGTGTGAAGTGGAACAGCATCTAAAGCAAATTCTTCTGGAAGATACTTGTTAGAATCAATACTTAAGTGAACTATAAACTCCCTTATATGGAATGAACTAATTGGAAGATGTATAAGGAGATGAAAAAACTGCAGATCCCTCACTGAGCCAATCCGAATTTTTCATTTAAGAATCCAGTAAAAATAGAGTTATTGTGCGGGCATATGTAGTACTATTCAAATTAATAACTAGAAGAGGTGACCATGATTTGAAATTGAAAACATTTTAATTTTAGAACTGATGTTTCACAATGAATTAGCAAAATACACGACATAAGCAATGACAGCTACATTACAGCTTTGGAAAAGAAATGCAAAAAAGAAAAAAGGAAATATTTTAGTAAATTTGAAGAACTAAGCAACTCTTAGAGAAGACTGAAGCAGAAAAAGAAGAATGTCCTACCTCAATAGCATCTACAAGATAACCAGATAATACAGAAATCCATATGGTCAAAATAGCAAGCCACCAAATGGCTTCCCATTGTGTGATCTCGGGGGCTTCTTCATCATCAAATTCTTCTGCATTGTTTTCTCCCTCCTGGACACATATCACTATATCAGTGTTATTAAACAGTCTGCTAAGAATATCTGCAAGCAACTTCTGGAAGATGCCCGTGAACTGTTGACAATGGCATTATGATCCATAGCTAAGGCATGTGATAGCATTAGCATATTGTGCAAGGATCTTTGAAAGAGCTGTACCCCTAATGGGAAAAAAAACACAGTGCGCATATTAAGATACTATCATACTAACACAGGAATTTACCTCATTAATTGAACTGTACAAGTTTTTCTCACTCTTAAGCTGAAAGAATAGATAGCTAGCATATGCCACAAGCATTATGCAACTGCTAAATCTGGAAAGAGCTAGCTCTGACTTTCCAAAATGGACCTCTGTGCGAGTGAAGTGTAGCACTGCAGGAAACAATAAGCCCATCACAGCCATCAACAATAACCCTGAGCTGACAATAGCACTTGCCTGCAATATATCAATGTGTCTTATGGCTTCTATAAAAGAGCATTGAAATTGTAAATGAAAAAGAAATGACTACAATTTATTAATTTGTGTGAACATCTTCTACCTTGTCAAAAACCTGAACTTTTTTGTGATGTGTAATCCCACCACAGAAGAACGCACATCCAAGAACTAGCAACATATTTGATAAAATGGAACCCAACAATGATTGCTTAACAACCCTCATCATATCATTTTTCAGTGCATATATTGAAATTATCATTTCAGTAGCATTGCCAAAAGTGGCATTCAGAAGGCCGCCAACTACACATCAAAAGAAAATATGTATCTGTGAGGCAGACTACTTGAATAAAACTATGCCTGACATGTAAAACAATAATAGGCACATCAAATATGAATGGTATCATTTGAAGTTGATTCCAAAGCACAAGCATGGCACAAGACGAAAGTTACAAACTATGAAAGACTAGTAAACCTTCTTCCACAAAATCCCCACTGAAACTGCAGCATACTTGACAAGTGTGTTCGTGTAAGGAATCCACCACTCATTACCAGAACATAGCAGTAGGCCAGTAGCAATAGAAGTGCTTGAATTTAAGATTTTGTGTGTGCACACACATACTCACATATCTTAAATAGACACACCACATCTACAGATAAACTATACTGTCTGGGACTTCTCTTTGGCCGAGATTTCTCTCTGGCGATGTTATGCTACAGTAGCGTCACCATAGCCATCGTTATTGGAGCATCATCAGTTGGTTTCTCTCTGGTTTGAATTCAGATTCGTGTTCCCCATCTCTGGGCGAACATTTCCGCTGGTGGAATTGCTCATCTGTGCTTCAGTTTGGGAAGGGTGTGCGTTGACCTTCGTGGTAACTGTTCATCCTCCTCTCTGATGTCTTTGGCCTTCCTTTCTTGAAGTTTCTCTGCTGTTATGGGCTCCGGCAAAGCCCAAAGTGGTAAGAAGACGAAGAAGAAGGTTCCCAAGAAGAAACGGAATGAAGATGAGACTACGAAGGAGACTAGCCTGGAAACTGATGCTGCTGCGGAACCGAAGGGGAAGGAGAAGGCTCAGACCTCTTCCTCCACGTCTGAGAATTCGCCCCAACAGGTTGAGGAGGTTGTAGACTCTGTTGCTCAGGTGGGGATAACTTCTGCTCTAGTGACCCCCCATGTGCTCGATGATATGCCTCAATCAGACAAGATTACTCTTAAACCTACTACCTTTGCTGACTTATTCAAAGGTAATAGGGACCCTGACCAAGGTATGACGCTGAAACACGACGATGTTGGCGAAGGTGTCCTCCGCATTTCAGACTCTATTATCAAACCAGTGGAAGACATTTGGGGCTTTTGTCTTGTGGGCTGCTTCACTGGGCGTTTCCCTGGGCTTAAGGCTGTTGATGCCATTGTCAAAAGCTGGAATATTCCTTGTAGAATCATACCCCATTGCAAGGGTTGGGTGGTGCTCAAATTTGAGAATGATAAGGACCGGTATGAAGTGCTTGGTATGGAACGAAGCAAAGCTTATGGAAAAGAGTTTGGATTGAAAATACCCTCTCATGGATTCATGTTTGACTTTGCTGAGTTCACCACATTGCCTGTCTGGATTCAACTCCATAATGTCCCAATGCAACTGTGGTCAGAAGAGGGTATTGGAATGCTGGCTTCCAAAGTGGGTAAACCTCTTTGTACAGATTTGGTGACTAAACAACTGGGGAAAAGCGGCTTTTGTAGGGTTCTTGTTGAGGTGGATTTCTCCAAAGAACCTGTAACAAAGTTTGAGGTGGAATGCATGGGAAAAACCTATGTCCAGACAGTGGTATTTGAGGAGGAGCCTCGGTACTGTTTCCATTGCCTCACATGGAATCATAGCCCATTCAACTGCAGGGCTTTGGAACTGATTAAGAAGAAGGAATTGGACAAGCCAGTGGTGCAAACAAAGCCTGTTTCTAAGGAGTGGGTTCCTATTGGCAAGAGCAAAGGAGTTGGAGGCCATACAGAACCAAAAGGGGGATCTATTCCTTCTTCTTCACACACTGCCAAGAACATGGAAGAACCTCACACTGTTGGTGTAGGTGTTTTGAGCAAAGTACCTGTTGGAATTGGGGTTGGTGGGGCTGGCTTGGAAAACAGAAAGAAGAAAGTGCAGGAGGGTGCTCCTGTTGGTAAGAAGCATGATCTTAAGAAGGGAGGAAAGGGGCCGGGCCCCCCTCACAAATGAAAATCCTCTGTTGGAATATTAGAGGACCAGGTCCTCTAAACAGAAATTTTTGTGTAAATATCTTTTGGAGCTTGGTGTCTATTTTGTTTGCATTCTTGAAACTAAACTATCGGGAACCAAGCTAGAGGGTTTTGTGAATGCCAAGCTACCCCCCTGGAAGTATGCCACTAATTTTGATGTTATGCCTGGTGGACGTATTTTGCTTTTATGGAATCCTTCCTTTTTTGATTGTAGTGTTTTGGATAAGGGTGAACAATACATCCACTGTGATATTCACTGCCTTACAACTCAGAAGGAGTTTACCCTCTCTTTTGTTTATGCACTCTATACTGTATCTATTAGGAGGGAATTATGGTCTACTCTCTCCTCTTTTGCTGCTGTATGTACCAAACCCTGGGGTGTTTTGGGTGATTTTAATTGTGTTCTTGCTGCTAATGAAAGAGTCAATTGCATGAGTCAAGGAGCATATTATATGACTGATTTCCTACACTTCAGATCCTCTAATTCTCTTGAAGATGTACCTTCTAGAGGGTCATTTTTCACTTGGCACAAAGGGAACAAATTTGCAAAATTGGACAGAGTGCTCATCAACAACAGATGGGGTGACAATGGTTGGGTTCCAAGCTGTGATTTCCTGGATTTTAATATGATTTCTGATCATTACCCCTTGTTGTTTCAATGTGGCAGCCCCTCTCCTAGAAGAAGCAAGCCTTTTAGATTCTTTAACATGTGGATCAAGCATGAGACCTTTCAGGGTCTGGTCCTCCCGTATTGGCAGCCTCCTGTTCTGGGATCCAAGCAGTTCTCTCTTTGTTCCAAATTGAAGCGGCTTAAACATCCCTTGAAGTCTCTCAACAACAACTCCTTTAGTCACATATCTAACAGGGCCAAGGAAGCTAAACAGGCTTACTCTGATGTGATGAAGGAGCTTATGATAAACCCTAATGATCAAGCTCTTCTAGACAATGCTGAAATCAAGAGAAAGCAGGCCAACTTCTTCCTTGATGCTGAGCTAGAGTTCTACCAACAAAAGGCTAAATGTGACTTTCTCATGAAGGCTGATAAGTGTACCAGCTACTTCCATTCTCTGGTTAACAAGAATAGAAGGAAGAATGCAATTCCCTTCTTGGTTAAAGGGGATGGATCCAAAACCACCTCCTTAAAAGAAGTTGCCGACTGCTTTTTGGAGTACTATACAGCTCTTTTTGGGAATGCCTCCAATGTGGAACCCATCAACCATGAATTTTTAACCACTGGACCCTCTGTGTCCTTGCCTCTGCTTACTCATCCCTCCTGGCTACTGTCACAATGGAGGAGGTTCAGGGGGTGGTTTATGAAATTGGCAGTGACAAGGCACCCGGACCAGATGGTTATACTGCTGCCTTCTTCAAGACCCAGTGGGATATTGTTGGGCAGGATGTCTATGGGGCTGTTCTGGAATTCTTCAACACCGGGAAGCTCCTTAAACAGTTGAACCGTGCTATGATTGTTTTGGTCCCTAAAACAACACATAATCCTTCTGTAAGGGATTTTAGGCCTATTGCTTGCCTAAATGTTCTTTACAAGATCATCACTAAGATCCTAGCTAGGCGTATGGCCCCCTTGCTACCTGAGTTGATTGATCCAGCCCAAGGTGCCTTTGTCCAGGGAAGATCACTTGTGGATAATTTCCTCCTAGCCCAACACTTGGTTAGAGATTATGCAGTGAAATCTAGACAGGGATCAACGTACTAATTTAACCTGTAGTGATTCCGAATACTGTGCCAAAGAACCTCCAAGAACCTCCGTCAATACCAACCGGAGGGGTTTCCTACTAGATTCATTTCTCTTATTATGGAATGTGTAACCACAGCTTCCTCTTCTATCATGGTAAATGGTGAGGGTCATGGCTTTTTCAAGAGTAAGAGGGATTTGAGACAGGGTGATCCAATGGCACCAACTCTTTTTCTCTTTTGCATTGAGTACTTCTCTAGAATGCTCAACACTAAAGCAAAAGAGGGAGTCTTCTCTTACCATAAGGATTGTGCTTCACTTGGCATCACTCACTTGGCTTTTGCAGATGATATTATGTTGTTCTCAAGGGGGGACTTCCACTCAGTGCAAACCCTTATGCAATCTCTGGATCACCTCTCTAGGGTTTCTGGACTTACACTCAACCCAACCAAATCCAATATCTTCATTGCTGGGAAATTTAGAGACACTAGCCAAAACCTGCTGGGACTTAGCTCCTTTCCCTCGCAGGCAGCTACCAGTTATATATTTGGGACTCCCTTTGGCTTCCCAAAGGATTTCTGAAGCTGATTTTGCACCCCTCTTTAAAACTGTTGATGGTTTCCTCTCCAAATGGGGGACCCTCAAAGTCTCTTATGCTGGAAAGTTGGAGTTGATCAGGGCGGTGATCCAAGGCGTTCAATCCTTTTGGCTGCAGGCCTTTCCAGTTCAGAAGTATGTCCTTCATCGTATTACCTCCCTATGCCATGACTTCCTTTGGGGTAGCAAATTTGCCAAGGTGGCATGGGCAGATATATGCAAGCCTAAGGGAGAGGGTGGACTGGGCCTACGAGATGCTAATATATGGAACAATGCTCTTTTATGTAAGTTGCTTTGGAATTTGGCAACTAAGAAGGACTCCCTTTGGGTTAAATGGGTGCATAATGTTTATATTAAACATGACAATGTGTGGCTTTGGCAGCCCAAGAAAAGACACTCTGTTCTTCTCAAAAGGATTGCATATGTACGAGAGCTTTTGGTACAAAAGCTTGACAACCGTAACTCCTCTTTGGAAGCGGCTTTGCAAACCTTCTGTATTGGTGATAACCTTATTCCAAGCAAGGTTTATGATTTTCTTAGGGCAAAGACCAATCCCAAGCCTTGGATGGCTTTTATCTGGCACTCAATCATACCTCCTAAATGCTCCTTTACGATGTGGTTAGCATTTAGGAGGAGGCTGCCCACAAAAACAAACTTGGAATTCTTGGGGATACCCATGGAATGCGCACTTTGTGGGGTTGAACTTGAAGAAATTGATCACCTTTCTGGGCTTCAAAAATAGTATGGGGAGCCTTTAAAGAGTGGCTACGGGTGGATGGTCATCTCAGCACAATTGACAGGGCTGTCCGTTGGTTAAAGGCGCCTAGGAGAGGGGATGCCATCTTGAAGAAGGCTAGGAAGGTGGCTCTCGCTTGCACAATATTTCACATTTGGAAACAGCGGAACGCTTGCCAGTTTGACCAGGAGCCTCTTAACGTAGAGGGTATGATTTCTAAAATCAAGGTTATGGTTTACACAATTGTGGGGAGGATTTGGCCTATACATTCCATTTCCTTTTGATGCTGTTTGGAGTGTTGTTGTACTATTGACCCGTGTAGGGCTCTTTGGATTTGTGTTGTGCTTTCCTTTGTTTTTATGATGACTCTTGGTATGTATTCGGAAATCGGTTCTTTCCCATTTCCAAGCTCGGGTATGCCCGTTCTATTTGTACATTCCCTTTCTTTTATTCTATTTACATTTTTACCGGAAACTGTACTGTCTGGAAAAAAGATGAAGGATCGTGTATATGTTCCTAACCACAACCAAGAGCTTCTATATTCAATTGCATAGCCCGCCTAATGATCTTCTATCATTAACAGCGGTATTCAATGTGAAACTACATAGATTTAACTGCTCAATCTGATGTGATAGGGCAATTATCTTTAACTAATTTATTAATAAATGAAGGTGAAATATTGAAGGACCAACTTCTCGTCGAGGAATACTATAAATGCACCTATTTCAGTTTTTTCCTGTCATAACCAGATTTTCTTCTTAGATACTCAAATATGTGCCAGAAAGTGAGTAATAATACCTGTTGGCCCTGTATAAAATGACAGCTGCCTGCAGCATAAGGTAGTGAGAAGGTAAATGAGAACAGTGAAGAAACCAACCCAAACAGAGTAGATTGAGAAGTAAAAGTTAAACTGTTCTCTGTTGTATGAACATACTCGGTAGCATATCCTAGACGCTCAGCTAACGGTGCAATGCCCAATAAGCTGAAAAAAAAGACCCATGCCTACAATAGAAGAGACAACCACAAATAGAAAGCCATTGATTTTGCATGTTAATTACTGTCCTAATGCAATTAGAAAACACTTAGTAGGACATGCCAAAAAGAAAACTTACATGCTTCCCAGTAACATAGTGCAGCACTATTGCTAGCGGGCCAAAAGGAAGCAACACATTGATCTTTGCTTTTATTAGAATAATGTAAATGCTTCTGAGAGCAGTATTCCGACGCATCATTCTCAAGAATCTTGAAGATGAAAAGGCTCTAGTCAATAGAATGTGATTATGAGGCACTTCACAATGCAAACTTTGTATTTTAATTGTTCTCTGAGATGAGCTTAGAGGGATCTCATCAGATTCAAGATCAACACTATCCTCTCCAGATCGCATCATTATTCTCTCGTATCAACAAACATCCAATGTCACGAATGCAGAGAGCTTCAGCAGTGACAAATGGCAGAGCAAGCTTCAATCAGCAGAGGGCGAATGCAGAGAGCTTCAGCAGTGACAAATGGCAGAGCAAGCTTCAATCAGCAGATAACCTAACCACCTTCTTCTCGGGTAAATATGTAGACTCTGCTTTTACCCAATAGAGAGGGGTAAACCCCTAGAGAAACTAGCTCACATAAATTTGCAGACTTCAAGCTCAACCGATCTGGTCACTCAGACTGGCAAAAATGAATACAGTTTAAAATCGTTCATTGGAAGCTAGGCAAAACAATCAAATAATAAACACAGTAAATAGAGCCAAATCTGCAATCACAGATTCTTCCAACCCAACAATGTAAAAATTCGCTCATCACTCTACAAGAGTGTTACAATAAACCTCTAAATCCATCAACCAGGCAGAGTAAACCCAAATGATCAGATCAGAGTTCATTATAACGAATCAAAATAAAGCAAAAAATAAAATAAAACCCAAAACACATCAGATTATCAGAAAGGTCAGTTTTTTACCGGGTCAAATGATGATTCCACGGCCCCAAGTGGTTCCAAGTTTCGGAATCGCGAATGTCAAGGAAAATTCAGCGCCGAGAAAGAACAAGTTACTGGATATGCGTGTCCAATAAATGCATGATCTTCATATGCGAGTTTGTATGTGTAGCTGAATCAAGGGTTAGTTTTGAACTTGGTGAGAGTGGACAGAAAGAGAAGCGCCGTCGAGCCTCGAGAATGAAGATGCAGGCAAGTGGCGGGGAATGAAAAGGACATGCAGAGAAGAAATCTGGAAGAAGACGAAGCTTCCGGGAAGCATCACCTGCGTGTAATGTGTCGACAGATTGAGGCGCTCGATGACCCCAACTCTATTCGTTTGTCAATTTCTATTGACGGCCTATTTTACCAAACCAACAAGTACTTCTCTCCCAAATAGGGCCATTACTAGTGTTTTTAAAATTCAAGTAATTTAATAACTTGTCCAAAAATTAAAGAAAATTGGAATGGATTATAAATTAATTTTTATTCATAAGAGAGTTGATAAAAAATGATTTAAAAAGAACATACATTCAAAAAATGAACGCCAACCATTCTTTGTTTTTCAAGAATTTTAGAAATTAAATACAAACATGCAAATAAAAGTATAAAATTAAATTCAAAATAATACTTTTACAGTGAAATCTACAAGAAAATTGAAATATTTAAATGAAATGACTTCTGAATTATGTCCAGAAGTCATTTTATTTGGATATTTAAAGAAGAGGTGTCAAAGTTTTGGATCTGTTGTGTCGTTCCCCCCCCCCCCTTCTTTTTTTGTTCAGCGTTGACCCCAGTTTATAATCGGGAGAGGCTTCTTCCCATTGGTTCCGTTTCAAAAATATACACAGAGGAGGAGTCGTTGTTATACTATTGTTGAAGTGGGTTTGATGGCCGAACGTTGTAACATTTATTTTGAAGAATTGAAGGCATCATAAAAATATAGCAGATCCCTACGAGTTTCTTGGAGCAATTGTTAGGGAAAAAGTGCAGAACACGTGATGGTCTAGAGTGTCCTGTCACGTCCTGAAGCTTTCCTTACGTGAAGAAAGTTACAATCTACATGAAGAATGAGATCTTTAATGCCAACTAGATCGTGATATCCAGAAAATGAACCATGGCTGAATGTGTGAGCTGCCAATCATGTTTCTCCTTGTGATCTCGGTGGAGATGTGACAGCTAAAGTGAACTTGAACAAGGTTCGAGTTAGAAATCCTAGATTAGAAGTTTCACAACAATTTGGAGAACTATGTCTCATCGCGTTGTTATGTACCGGTGTAACTTGCATCTAGTGATTTAGTGGAGGACTATTACACGGGCGTGTGCCTCACAGAGTAAGAGAGTTCTTCGAACTGCATAAACATATCTAATGTTATTCTTTACCTTTTATAGGTACAACATTCCGCCCAATAGACGCAGTAACACCCTCTGCTTCATTTGTTTTTGTGTGTGTGCTTGTAACGTAGGAGCTATAGCACAGTGTCTGTCATTTGTTACTGTGACAGTCCTACAATAGACTGCTTGATTGATGTATTTGCGTAGATTAATTTTGTTGGTGATTACTGCTTCCCCCAAGAACTTTCATGGTCTTGGTTTGAGGAGTGGTTTGTTGGAAACACATTTCAATCCACATTGGATGGGAATAGAAAATTGGATCTAAATTACTAGGTTCAACCTTATTAGTATGAGACCTTTTGAAAGATGCGAAAATAAATTTGTTGGGCTTGATCCATAGCGAACGATATCATAAAAATGCATATATGGGTGAAGGTACGCGCGGTCCCGATACTCCGCCACTCTTTTTTCTTCTTCTCTCAGCCCCTCCTCCTTTTTCTTCTTCTTTAGCACCCCTTCTTTTTTTCCACTTTCTTAGTTTGATTTCTTTTTTACTTTATTTTAATAATTAATTAGTTTTATTTTATTTAGGGGTGACTTTGTTTAAAATATTGTTCCCTAACTTCTTCGGCTCCCCTTCTTTTATTCTTCTTTTTTTAACTTATTCTCAGTTTGGTTTCTTTTTATTATATTTAAATAATTAATTAAAATTGTTTTATTTAGGGGTGACTTCATGTGAAATATTGTTCCCTAACTTTAATTTAGTTTTTTGTTGTAGATGTAACTCACGTCATAAAAATAAGAGGTGATAAATTTGCATATCTCATTAACCTGAAGATTTTTCAAGTATTCTCAGAGAAAAAAAATTAACGTATCATGTTACCTGAACATTAACTTTGTGCTATCTTGTGATGTCTTTTTTGTGAAGATGTCTGTTTATTTTTTACTGATTCAAGAATTGGGAGATGGGGTTATTTCATATGCATTACACACTTGCGGCACTATCCTAGATATAACATTTGGTCTCATAGACGCTGATCCCAAAGTATATATGCTGAGAACACGAGACCACGTTTTCATCCCCTCTGTTGACCTCCTCCATTCCGACATGTGCCCAGGTGATCCAAGACACACAGTCAGAGAGCATGGTCACTGCCTGGGCGTGGCCATTGATTTGGGCACCAAATGTTTGATTAGTGAATTATGTGGCTTACACCATTGCTAACTCACTCAATGAGCAGCGTAAGTATCTTCTTACTTCATACTTTGGTTATGACCATTTTTAGCGTCTTATAAATGTTTTCTCAGAAGTTTATATTCTAAATTTGAACCCAAACATTCCAGGGAAGTTGCACAAGCTGAACAATGGTGTCCAACTATGCGTGAAGAATTTGATACATTAGAAGGCAATGACATGTGGTTCTTATGCCAGCACCTACTTCAAAAAGCCATTCAAGAGTGAAATGGTTTAAAAAATTAAACGTAAATCTAATGAAAGTATTGAGCACTATAAGGTCCATCTTATAATTTTTTTTACAACTATTAGGTTTAATGAAACATTCACTCCAGTTGATAGCTATATAGTGTCCATGTTCGATCATGGGAGTTGCATCGAATGAATGTTCATGATTCCTTCATGGAAATCTCGAGCAAGAAAGTTTTATGCACCTATGGTCTTGTTTGTAAGTTGAAAAAAATTTTGTATGACTTGAAAAATCACCACAGTGTTTCTTTGCTAAACTCTCTTACACTTTCAAACACCATAGTTTTGTTCAATCCATCTATAATTATTCCTTTAGCTCTGTATGGCGTATGGAGGTGATCTATGTGCTTGTGTGCGTGGATGATTTAGGTATTATAGAAAACCATGCATAATTAACTGTGAAATTTAAATTTTATTTATCTAAAAAATTTTCATGCTCCCTCCATCCCAGAAAGAATGACACGTTTACTATTCTGGCCTCTCGATAACTTTTGTTTGTTTACTCGTTTTGTTTGACCATTTGATAAAATAAAATATTCTTGTCGCATCTTGTTTTGTAGAACTTTTCATATACTTTTGAATGATGTAATTTTTACTTTTTATTACTCTACCAATTTGAAATTAAAATAATTTTAAAAGAGATGATATTTTGCACGTTGTTCGAAGTGTTGCAAATAAATTGGGACGGAGGGAGTATGAAAGATCTGAGATTATCATTAAAAAAATTTGGCAAAGTTCAGAAGAATACTCCCAGAAATTACATGTTTTACATAAATACTATCAAATTTGGTAGTGTAACTTGGATGTGTCTTTTAGTACTAAGTGAGAAAGTTAAAATGCCGACGTGTATTTTTTTATTCTAAAATACCAAATTCACCTAAGCACATATTCTCTCTCATCGTCTTTCTCATGTCTCAGTAAGCCTAATCATTGCCCTTATCTCCCATCTCTTTTTAAAAAAATCTTCTTATTTCGATCTTCATAAATCTTTTTCATGTTTGATATCAAGTCTGTTCATATTAATTTAATTTGAATTCGATCAAAAATATGAAGAACCCTATTTAAAAAGACGCACCCGAGTAAGATTGATGATGGCTAGACAATCACGGAGTAACGACGTAAATAATAGGGAAATGTGTGAGTAACTCTGTAAATTAATGAATTTGAGAGTACTTCCTTAAAGAAAAATTTACTCTATATATGACTAAAAGATAATATGTTTCCTTAAATAAGACTAACTATGTTTTATTTCTTTATGATACATAATTTTATATGATCTGTTATATATGTCTTCATTAGCAATAAGTGTTATATAATGACTGATTTATGAATGATTTTACGAATGTGGTCATTACCAATAAATATTAGATAATGATTAATTATTTCAATGATTATTGAATTGTTTTTAATAATATCTTTTTAAAATTGTTTTCATAAAATAATAAAAATAAATTAAAGAAAACATGTTCCTAGTCGTCCATTCTACAAATTATTATGGACATAGTTGGAACTTGGAACAAATATATGGAGACTAGAATGGTTTTAGAACGTAATAATTCCGGTTCAAACTTAAGAAATGAGTTGGACGGAGCCAACCGGTAATACTTGCCCGACGAGCTTCTCCCTTCTTCAGCGAATCGGATCATCCACAAACCCAACCCAATTTCCCGCCAAAAAAGAGGTGTCTCCTCCCTTCCGCCGCCATTACTGCTCTAGGTTTTCACCTTCGTCTCTGCAACAATGGTGAAATTGATTCAACTTCTCCGCCTAGGGTTTCTTTTGCTGTTCACCATAATTTCTCTGCCAAAAAACTCACTTTCCCAGCGAGGTAATTCCATTGATGACGACTCACTCATCGCATCTCTCTCGATCTCCCCGTTCTTGATTTTCCGGCAGCCAAGAATTGATCTTTTTCTCCTTTTTTCCCCTTTACAGATTCGTTTTACATGGATTTTGTGGTGGATGCAGTGGAGATGCCGTCGGAGGACTACTACGATTACATCATCGTCGGAGGGGGGACCGCCGGTTGTCCGCTGGCGGCGACTTTATCGGAGACCTACAAGGTTCTGGTTCTTGAAAGAGGCGGCGTTCCGTTTGGGAACCCGAATTTGATGACCCAAGAGGGGTTTCTGGCGGCCTTGTCGGAAGTCGACGCCTTTGACTCCCCTGCCCAGACGTTCATCTCCGAAGACGGCGTCCCCAACGCGCGCGGCCGCGTTCTCGGCGGGAGTAGCGCCATTAACGCCGGGTTCTACAGCAGAGCCGACGAGGAGTTCTACTCTAGCTCCGGGATCAACTGGGATTTCAATCTGGTGAACCAATCGTACGAGTGGGTGGAGAGATCCATCGTTTTCCGGCCGGAGCTCAAGAGCTGGCAATCGGCGGTGAGGGACGGTTTGCTGGAAGCCCGAATCGACCCTTACAACGGCTTCACCCTGCACCACGTTCTTGGCACCAAGATCGGCGCGTCCACCTTCGACAACTCCGGCCGCCGCCACAGCGCGGCGGATCTACTGTTCTTCTCCAATTCCAGCAACATCCGGGTGGTGGTGTACGCGTACGTGGAGAGGATTCTTCTGGCGTCGACCACAGCATCGCTGGATTCTAAGCAATCGGCCATCGGAGTGATTTTCCGGGACCGGATCGGGCAGTTCCACCACGCGATGGTGAAGGACAACGGCGAGGTCCTGCTGGCCGCCGGCGCTCTGGGCAGCCCGCAGCTGCTCCTATTAAGCGGAATCGGGCCGAGGCTTTACCTGTCTTCTCTGGGCATCCCGGTGGCCCACCACTCCCCCTACGTCGGCCAGTTCCTCTTCGACAATCCAAGAAACGGAATCTCCATTGTCCCTCCAATCCCTCTGGAGTATTCTCTCATACAGGTGGTGGGCATCACCGGCGACGGCTCATACCTCGAAGCCGCCTCCAATTTCATCCCATTCGCATCCCCGATCAACTCAATATTCATCAGAGCTCCGGCGTCGCCCGTTTACCTGGCCGTGGCGACGCTGATGCAGAAGATCTCCGGGCCTACTTCCGTCGGGTCACTCAGACTGGCTTCGCCGGACATCCGGGTCAACCCGGTGGTCCGATTCAATTACTTCAGCGACCCGGGGGACTTACAGAAGTGCGTGAACGGGACAAGGAAGCTCGGGGACCTGCTGAACACTCGATCCATGGAGGTGTACAAGTTCGATCAGAGGTTCGGAGGGAGGGATTTCCGGTACGTCGGACCTGCGTTGCCGGTGAACCAGTCCAGCGATGCTCTCATGGCGGAATTCTGCCGCCGAACAGTGAGTACTATCTGGCATTACCACGGCGGGTGCGTGGTGGGGAGGGTGGTGGATGCAGATCTCAGGCTGATCGGAATCGACGCCCTGAGAGTCATCGACGGCTCCACATTTACTGTTTCTCCGGGGACCAATCCTCAGGCCACTCTGCTCATGCTCGGACGGTAAAGTATTCCACTTTTAATTTACCATTAATTTTTTGGGGTGTGTTTGGCCGGAGCTTCAAAATAATTTACTAATCCTTCCTTCCCATAATTTTTTTTTCTCAAATTCACTTACCCTCATTCTATTTGTTACACTTACACCTCACATATTTTGAAAAGGCTATAAAAGGTAATTTACGTTTTCAAAATTAATTTATACAATCAAAAAATCATAAAAGATTTAAAACACTGACACTTATAAAAATAAAGATATTAATAGTCAAAATATCATTTTAGAGACTAAAAAACTAAATAGCAATGACATTTTTTTGGGATAGTAACTCATGAATGAGTGGGGTACTGGGTTGGATGTATGGGCCCACTCATGGAGGACGCTCTCTAATTCTTTGGGGATGCCCTCTATGATTTCATCTATCATTCAATTCATACATTATCTATAGATTTGAATGTCAATATGTTAAATATGGTGTGTGTATGTATGTACGTTTGGATGCAGACATGCTGGATTGAAGATATTGAGAGAAAGACAAAGCTAGGAGAAGTGTATGTGCACATATGGATGGAGTGTTGTAGCATTGGTTTTGTTCTTGTTAGATGTATGTACATGTGCATGTTTTAGTAGACGAGACGAGACAAGATTATTCAAACTAATCAAAAAAGGGATGAGCTCCTATCTCATGTCTAACATCTCTTCTCCTCCTATAATTATAATCTCAAATATGATCGAGTATTAATACAATTTTAGTCTTTCATTGGAGGTCCACTTTAAATATGATCGAGTATCAATACAATTTTAATCTTTTTTTCCCTCACAATTAAGTTCCCAAAATTATACACACTAATAACAAACTAAAGAGTATCAATGTTTTGAATTTATGAGGAACTTAGTTGGTATTTAATTTGCAACTATTGTGGATCTTGAAGAAAATATATTCGCACTTATCTGGAAGAAAACGTCATAAAATATGATGCACTACATTATTTTTTTGAATACTAATAATTTTATTTCAATATAATATTTGTTCATACATTCTTAACATATTAAAGATCCTTGGCAATATAGTACATTACTCCGTATTAAATAAGGGCATGTTTCATTATAAAAACAAATTTATTCTACAGTATAATTTATATTCCTTTCATCCAAAAATTATTTTACTTTCTTTTTTGCCCTTGAATATTTAGAAAAATGAATAAAATAAAAATGTAAAATGAAAAATGGAGATGTGATAGATAATGATGACGAAAAATAACCAAGATAATAAATCTAAAAATACATTCCATCACATCACAAAAAATTAAGAGGGGCATAGTGGGTGATGAGTGGGTAACGATTAATAGGAGTACTAAAGTCTTCTTAGGATAAAAGTTTTGCTTAAAAAAAAAGAAGAATTTTTTTGAACAAACAAAAAGAGAAAGTGTGAAGAATTTATAGACGGGGGAGTATTCTTTAAAATGAAGAAGTCTAGGAAGATCTTTGATGCCAGCTTTTTTTTGCAGTTTGTCTTTTCAAACTCTGAGATCCCTCAATTACAAACTTTGTATTTTCAAAGATATTCAGATGTGTATATAACCAAGCCTATAATATCGATATATTATAGTGCAAATAGAGGTTACTATTGTAAATTTGTAAGCAGCATCGGTTCTTGATTCCGCAAAAACGAGAACCCACGACAAGAATCCAGATGGTAAAAACAGGAAACAAAAGGAACATGCAATACACCAGTGTCGAAAAGATGATAATCGCAATGCCATTGATTTAACAGCCAAAAACAATATCCTCCAACAGAAAGGGGAAGGGAAAAGTTTCACACTTTATCAAGTAAAGCGGACGTTGTTTATTACCAAAGTGCTCTAAACATGGAATAAGATAGCATGGCTGTGCAAATGTTGATCCATACCCAGCCAAAAGTGATGCGATTAACCTCATTCGCCAGGCGTATCTGAGCGAATAGCTGTGAAAAAAAATCAATACAAGTATATTAGGTCCCAGAGATGCCAAAACCTTGCAAAGAAACCAAAGAAATTATATTCATGACAGCATCAAAAGGAAACCACTACTAAAGGCATCACACCTTTAGAGCAATATATAACTTAAATTCCATTCGCGATCATCAATTTCTATGCTTATGACCAAGAAATGATGAGAATATACCAATATTTTGGAAATTCTCATCCAAATTCCCTTATTTTAAAGTCAACTATATCGATATATGGTACCCTAGTATGAAAGTTATTAAAAGAATACATGAAGGGAGAAGTAGAAGACAACTAAGAAAAAGAAGAAGAAGAAGAGAGTTCATTTAAGCATATTGCCTACTTTTTCAGATCCAAGGCATTCGGGCACATTCTAGAGATCCTTGATTAAAAAGAGAACCTTCCACAACCCAAGACGATCACTCATTGAATGGGCCCACATGATGGAAAATGCTTTGCACATTCTTAAGGTGACACAGTGTGCTTTAAATGAACCTTGATGTTAAAAAGAATTGAAAGAAAAGACTGCCCCTACAACCAATACAAATGAGCCACTAGAAGAAGTCATCTACTTATGAAAAAACTACTCCGTATAAAACTCCAATTACAATTGCACCACTGGCTACAATAGTTATTCTATGAAATTTTACACTTCTACCTTCTATCATTATCCAGAAAGCTCATTACCACCATAATAATCTAGTTTAGGATGCTTCCAAAAAATATGATCACCATTATTACCTCTCAACTACATTGGGCTGGTGACATGAAATTTATCGAGTTGCTTGTTTAAAATTACTCTGGGTAACAAAGAAAATTCATGCAGGAGGATTCCACAGTGACAAAATCTTAAAGCAAATACCCATCCTGTAGTATGTATTGACAATCTAAAGAAGGGAGTAAGGGACAACAAGATGAAATTTGGAACCCTTCATAACCTTTTTCACCTCATGATGTAGGAATGAGTTAAAATAATATATATAGTCAGCTCTTATACCAAAATGGCAGAATTTGATATTGTTAAACAAAATCCTAGTGAATAAAATAGAATATGAATTCAGTGTATAATCAGTGTGTGTACTGTGTCCTGTGAAAGGGTATGCAAACCACGGGCAAAACCCAACCAGATACGTAGAGCTACAAGCCTATGAGCACATCGAATACAAAGTCAAAATAGAAATGCAAATTAAAAACATAAACCTTCAGTTTCATCCAATAATACAACACAAACACGAATCATCCTTTGAAGTTGAAGACGCCAGTCAAAGAATAACACCATGATAAAGTTCCTCGGACAACTGACAAGAAACAGTAGTCACAAAAACTCTATGGTCTTAATCAATGGGTAGTCAAAAGAGCCAACGTTCCACAAATCCGACAACTAGAAAAATAAATCTCACACCATAAGAATCAACATATATGTATAACATAAATTGATGGATAAATTGGACCGGGTGCCCTTATCCAAAGGAGGGGCATGCCCTAAATCAAAGCCTTATTCACTACAATTCTCCTATACCTTCACTACGCCGGATCCAAAATCCATTATAGAGCATTAAAATCTGAATTAGGGCACTAATAGCAGCAAATTATAAAAATACAGCGGCCTTTTTATCTGAATGGGGGAAAAACAAAAGATAAGATCACGGATCTGATATGAAAGAATAAGGTGAATCAGTTCTTACTGGGTTTCTGGGGCTTTCCCTCAGCCCATTTGGAGAAGGCGAAGTGGACCTTCTCGCGGCTCATCGCCTCAGATCTGTAGGGTTCCTTGAGGCAGTTCCTCACCATGTTGGCGCACATGTTCGAGTATGTGATGTAAGTCATCCCCGCTGCTCTCCAGAACGGCATCGCCGCGTTCGACGCCATTTCCTTCTTCTCGCTACTTCTCCGCGCTCACCCTTCTCAGCACCGGATCGGGTTCTTGTCACAATTACACCCAAACTCCTTTTATACTTGGGATAGGGATGACAACCTTCGGTTCGGATTGTCATGGGTTGGGTGTAATATTCATATTTATTAAAAGTGGTTATCATTCGTATTTGATTAAATATCTTCAATTAATAAAAGGCTATGAATTTAGTAATAATGCATCTGATTTTTTATAATCCGCTCCGCATTGACATCCGTTTAAATAACGATTTATCTGTATAGCCAATCCGTTATATATAATTTTTATTAATTTTTTATTTTTATAGTTTGTTTCTCTATTGATATCTCAAAATATAAAATATTTTTATGTGCAAAATATATGTCTAGACACATAAAAATATGCGTAGACATATGAAAATATGTGTATATATGTACTGTATATATCTTTTTATGATATACTCTCTCCGTCCGGAAATAAAGTTTACGTTTCTCCTTTTTCTCCGTCCGGAAATAAAGTTTACATTTCTAATTTTAACCCACACTCTTCCAAAAATACCCTTCACCTTTTTTTAATTTTCTCCTATCCACTCACACTCTCTTATCCGCCCCTTCCTCCTCCTCATTTACTCCACCCGTATCTGACTCTTCCTCTCCTCAATAACTTCTTCGCCTCTTCTTCTCCTCACTCACCGATCTAGATCTAGATCTGTATACATATTCTCAGTTCATTCATCTCTTCAATGAAATTCCATGATTATCTATATGAATCATGCATTCCAGAAACCCAATTTGTAGATGGCGCCTACGTCTACAGCTCTGACGACAAGGAGGAGGACGAGGTAATTGTTCTCGAGAATAACGAGAACGTTGCCGATGTTGCCCCGGTCAAAGCGAAAGAGGTAATCGACCTTACCTCTAAAAGCGACTCTGTTATTCATCTGGAGAGCGAGGAGGTTGAGGTCATAGTTCTTGAAACTGATACTGATGGCACAGAGGGATCTAATATCACTCCAACTGAGAATTCTTCCTAGATCTACTCATGCATGCACCTCCACATTGATATGTTGAACATCTTACTTCCCAGTCCAGACCCTAATTTTTGGGCTTCGAAGTACAAGTAGGGAAGTACTTTTACATCCTTTGTCTGCATTCCTTTCGTTATGTGATGAGTTATTGTGCCTGCGCAATATTTGATGCTGTGATTGTATCATAATGTGATGTTTTCCCAATCTATGATGACTGGATTTATTCTACCTGATCTGAGAAAGGATTATGTGCTGTGATGAGCAATTGATGAACTGTGGATGTTTCTGAGTACTTATACTGTGTTCTTATTTTCTGTGAATACTGGATTTTAGTACTGTGATGAAGGATTATGGGCTGATTCTGAGTACTTATAATATGTTAGTATTTCATGAAGATATGAAGACATTAATTACTGTAAATAAATATCCTAGGAATAGGCAAATGTACCATGATGAACACTTAGCCATGTGTGGGTGTTTCTGAGTACCTTATATGTGTTCTAAGTTTCCTAAAGTTCAGCAATGATGATGTGGTATAAAGTAAACAAAGGTAAGGTATGCTGGATGTTGTAAATACATATAGAGCAGGTTGTGTAGTTGCCTTGTTCTGAGTACATATATACAAAGGTTCAAGCACTTGCAAAAAACAAAAATATTTTAAGCACTTGAAAATATACTCCCTGCCTACATCCCAAAAACCAAAAGCCCTTCCCCTACCCAAAAAACCATTTTGTTGTTCCCATTACATTCAGTTCATGTCTGAAGAGAGGTATTCATCTTCATCTTCAGGGTTGAACTGAATTATATCTTCAGATGTACTCTCATTTCCTTCTCCAAGTAGTCTTGCTGTGTTGACAACTACCTCTAGGTCTATGTGAAGGGACTTAGGCAGTGTCCCAACCCTTTCCAGTCTGCCTTTGCCCATATGCTGCAGCTTATAATTGTTTCCTTTTTCTTTTTCCATGATTGTAGCCATGACCTGCTGATAACTTAACCAAACTTTATTTAAAGTTTCTGGTTTTAGAGCATCATAAGCCCCTTGAACTGCCTTTAACAATTCCTCAACTGTGTTTGGAGCACACTGTTCTTTTAAGGACTGGATGGCTCTGAAAAACCCAAGATCAAGGACATTTAAATCTGGAGAGTTAGGGGGTTGGTTACCTAAGGTAATGTGGAAACCATTAGTGTTTCCTGCAGCTACAAATTCTGAGTCTAAACCTTGAATGTGTGGCCTAGCATTATTCTGTTGAATATGAATGTTCTTTGATAAATTTCTAGGCCACTTCTCTTGGATAGCTGGAATGACTTTATTTATAAGCATGTCTTTTATGACTTGTTTGGTAACTGCCTTGATTGGTTTGACTTCCAAGACCCCTTTAGCCCTGTTCTTGCTCCTTCTTTTGGCTTCAACAGTTTCAGTAAAATGAAAAATGCCAATTTTTCCATCCCAAAGAACAACTCCATTATCATCAAAAAGTGATTTACCAACCACACACAAGAACATGACTTTTGTAATGAACCTTTTTGATTTGCATGTCCTATAGGGGTCAACTTCTTCAGGAAGAAGGTAAAACCTCTGAGATGTTTTGGTCATAAAGAACCACTTCTCATCAATGTGCAATACATTATGAAAAGACTTGAATATAGGTTGGTGAGACATACTGATAAGTCCGTTTTGTACGCACTTATCTTCTCTATATTTAATGTGTTGTGGTCCAATTTTGGATTAAACAAATCAATTTCTCAATGGTTTTTATATCTTTTATTCATAATTTCAAAAGTGTACAAAATTTATGTCTTATTGTAAAAAGAATAAAAATTGAGTCAAAAGTGGTAAAAAGTGTAAAAGATTGAGCAAATGGAATGCAACGGAGCAAAGAGATTTGTTCGGAATTTGAAGTCGGCGCAGAAGGAAAAGTTTTTCAGAATAAAATTTTGAGCAAGACTTTATTTTTAGAAAAATGTTTTCGACCGAGTCAAAATCCGGCCAACCAGACGCTGCCACGCTGGCAGGCCAATTACAGCAGCAAAAGAGAAGAAAGCAAGTGGCTGGCCGGCATTCCCATAATCATCAAATAAGAAGAAGAAAAAAAAGAAAGAAAAGAACAAAGAAGGAAGCTCCATACTTCACGCAAGAAAAAAATTTGCCTCATTGTGCAAATCCGCCGCACATCATCAATCAGCAGCAGCACTAACTCCAGGCTTGCACCTCAGGCCCACGCCTGTCATAGGCCTGAACTGAAAATTTAACCTATAAAAGGAGGGCTTCGCCCCTTCATTTTAATCAAGCCTTCTTCCGGGTCTTTAAGGCCCGGAACTCCATTCTCCGCTCTTTTCTCAGTTATATTTTAATATTTTAGTTTAGTTTTGTTCTGGTTGTCCCAAAGTGGCTCCGACTCTGCCCTTTGTTGTAAGTTTTAATACTTGCAATTTTAATAAAATGTTCTTTTCTTTTATGTTCTGTTAATATCTAGTATGGGTTAGGACCCAGATTAGGGTCTTGGCTAAATTTGAGCATATACTCTGTATGTTTATTTAATAGTTGGAATAATTGTTCTAGAATTATTTTTATTGTTAAATTAATTAGTTATGTCGAGAGAAAAATTAATTAATTATTGGAAATTAGTTTTTGCCTTGTCTATGAGGATATAAAATTAATAAAGCCAAACTTTTTTAGAACACATTAATGTTGCCTTGATAAAGGATAAGTTAATGAAATATTTGTGACAGAAATATTATTATTCCAATTATTGATTAAATATGTGACAACAGTAGTTGACTCAGATGATGCCTTGACCCGAAGTCTAGTCCTATACCCGTACTATTTATTTTCTTTTTCTCAAAAGCATCCAGTAGTTTATTTTATTATTATTTTTAAATCAAATCGAGAAGACTTTCAGACCCGTCCTAACCTTCGTCTAGTTAGAAAATTTAGCTAATTCCCTTCGTCCACTCCTCGAGAGACACGACACTCGGAGAAAACTAACCCTTCATTGGGAAAGTTGACTTACCGAAAAACTCAATCATCACATACTCAAAGGTTCTATTTGGTCTAAACAGAATTTCAACCTAGCTTGTTTATTAGCAGCAGTAAGGTATGGTTTGATAGCATTCGTGTGACTCCTAAGCATACCTCTTTTTATCCACTGATGGACAGTGGACTTTGGCTTGCCAATTGCTGATGCTAATGTTCTGATAGTACCCCGCTTCCGGAGGGGGGTATCTGCAATGGCATTTACATCCATTTCTGCCCTTTTCCTCCCACAATGACCTGCCATTTTGCTTCTCACATCAATGGCAACCCCCTGCTCTAATTGTTTTTTTACGATGACTCATATCTTGCTAATCGTCTGTCTCGAGACATTAAACTGTGCAGCAAGCGTGTTGATCTGCCCCCTCTGAGCTGAATAGGAACCATCAATATTCTGTTTTGAATTTCGAAGCAAACCTTCACTAATAAGCTGCCTTGTAGTTTTGTCAAGTTTTTTGGAATTCATCTATGGATTTTTGATCAATTTTGCAGGGATCCAAAAACTGAAAAAAAGAACAAGAAAAATAAGAAAAGAGGCTGTCATAGGCAGCAGGAGAAGAAGAAGATGATGAGAGAAGAATGAAAGAGCCAAAAGGGGAAAGTCAATGCTTTTATATAACCAGTGGGCAGTGGAGGGATGACTGAATTTTTGGGGGTTTTTTGGGCGGGAAGGGAAAAAAGGGAGAGACCTCCAATTTTGTTTGTAATGTGAATGTATTTGAATGGTTTTAATCATTGTTATGTAATGTTTGATTGGATGTAAAACAATGTTTAAATAGTGTTTTCTCCCCACTACCACCAATAGTCTTCTTTTTTTTCCTATTCATTGCCTGTGCACCCATTCTTTTTCTTTCCCTTCTTTTTCCTTCATTAAGGGCAATTTGGTCATTTCACAGGATTAGTCAACCTCCCTTAAAAATGACCAAAAGTCAAAACGTAAACATTAATACCGGACGGAGGGAGTAATATCATAAACTATAAAAAAAGAAATTAATTATCCCATAAAAACTTATAATTGATTTAATAATATTTTGATTTAGTTTAATTTAAAATTAAATTATTGTTTAATTTAGTTTTAACAATTGGAAACGGACACGGATATATTCGATATCCGACCGATATCCGACATATGCGAATACGGTTTTGATTTTCAACAACCGTCAAGATCTGTATCCTAATCCGATATCTGACAGAAATAAACGAATACAGATTTAGTAATGGAACATTGGTCCGATTAATATCTGTTTACACCCCTACTGATGGTATAGTGGTTCTCCAAAATTAGTACGGAGTATTTTGTACTTCAAATTAAGGGCTAATAGTACGTGTCTCCCGTGGTTTATGGCTTGAGAATGACATTAGAGATTAGCATTAGTATTTTGGATAAAATTCTAACGATGTAGAGTACTTTGAAAATGCTAATAACCTTTTCAAAACGCTAACGGTAATCCCAAATATTATTCCCAAACAGGCCCTACAAAAGAGCATCAAGACTTTATTTATTTTCAAAAGTCATTTGTAAGGTTCCTATACTTTCTAAATAGAACACAGATGCCCTCTTACCTATTTTTGATTAAAAATGACATTTAAGTCCTTTTTTTCCTCTATCTTGAATTTTAACTGGTGGTCCCCTAAGTAGTGAGATACAAAGTCTAGAGGGAGGGTGAATAGACTTTGTTATAAATTTAAAAACTTTTGCGTTTCTTTTGAAAACGTTAAATAGTTATTAATCTTAAGTCCTTGAGAACTTAGATTAGGTGTACGGAAGTGGCAGAGGTGTTAGCTCTTTATGCGTCACTAGCTTGAGAATGGTATGAACAGATGCTACATTGTAGTAGAGTCAAAAGCACTACAAAAATGTAATCTATACTCATTCGCAACTTTATGTCTATATTCAATCTCCAAGAAATCGTGTTCGAGCCTTCACTAACTGCCCCGAAAACATAATTGTGTTTGACAAACTTTAGAATGCAAGAACATAATTTTACAGTCTTCTTATTTGATGGGTGTATTACACCTAGGCCTTGGCTTGAGTCAGGTCCAACAGAAATCAACCGAGTAGACTTGAACAAAGCGTAGGAAGGGTAATTGGGAAGAATCCAAACATGACTGGTAGGGGTGCAAACCACCTGGGTGAATGGGTGCCCATGACCCTACCGGTCTGGAAGCACGGCTTCGCCGAAAAGATCCACGTGTGATCAAGGTGTCCCTCTGCATAACAACTCGGGTGGGTCTTTGGGTATCGTACTAGCATGCTACTAAAAACCTAGCACGGTTGGACGATAGAAACGTGGAAGCAGCTGGGTCAGGCTGGACTCTTCTACACCCGTAGGCTTTTCCAGACATTCTTACCCACACACTACGCGTCTAGGAAGACAATTGCAGAGAAAAGCAACAAGGGAGAAAAGATAAGCGCTATGAGACAAACATTGTCACATCGAGCACCGAGTCACGTGGCTAGGCATGGGTGCTCGCCAACTTGTCCCCTAGCTTTCCTCTAAATAGGCTTGTAACCCTCAGTAGAAAGGATTCGATTTTCCTCTCTCTAAAAGTGTATTGTGCAATACCTCCCTGCACTTTTCTCATACTTAATAATAATCGCACTACAAGTATTCCCACCTCTAGTCCTCCTAGTCACTCTATAATTTTTATGCACTTTTAGTATCTAAACTCAGCAAACTTCCCTAGACCTGGTCTAGAGTAGTTTGTCCGGGTGGTAATTTACACCATTATTATCTTTCCACCAATAATTTGATTTCACATGTCACAAATTTTCTTCTACCACTAATAAGATTTCTATCTAAAGCACTCTCTGCAAGTACTTGATGCATAGTATGCTTCACCCCATATCATCATGTTGTGATTAAAATACAATTTACTTCCTCTCAGTGGCTGTTCGATCGATCTCAAAGGGCCCTCGGGATGGAACTCATCGTTTTCTACCCAAAGCACCAAGTTTTGCTACAAATCATCTTTTTTTGGAGCATGCTACATGTACCCGAAAATTTGTACCCCATTTATACACCAAAGATATGTACCAACAATTTGATTGTTCACACTAATATAAAGTGTTGGTTCGTTAACAAAAATTTACACTGACACAAAATGTTGGTGCATTTATAAAAATAAGTATTAAACTAACACAAAATTTTGGTACATCTTTATGGTGTACAAAATGAGTACATATTGGTGGGGTACAAATATCATTTTTTTCTCTTATTTTCCCACATAGGCCAAACTTGTAGCAAAGGCAAAAGGCAAGTACACTAGGAAGGAAACTTCCTCCCTCCTTCGCACCCTTCACTTCAGCTACCAAAAACTACAAACCCATCGGCCCCACTCCCCACCTTCAGGTTGTACCTGTACGGTAATTTGCGGGGAGCGTATTAAAACGTTTTTCCAAAAACTGTTGTAAATTTGTTGTAATTAAATTAAAATCCATCTGTTACGCTGCGGGCAGCGGGTAGGCGGGACGGCACACACGTGTACGGTCGAGATGTCTCGGACGGCGGAGGCTTCTTCTCCGGTACCGGCGGGAGAGGGCCGACAGAGAGAAGAAGACGACGGCGACGAAGATCACGGAGGGGTGCATCCGGCGATGAAGGCGGTGGTGTTCGCCTCCATGGCCGGAG